AGGACAACCCAAGTTGTTATCAGCGCTCGGTTCAGAAGCCTGCATCTCTGATGGTATGGGGTTGCATGAGTGCGTGTGGCATGGGCAGCTTACACATCTGGAAAGGCACCATCAATGCTGAAAGGTATGTCCAAGTTCTAGAACAACATATGCTCCCATCCAGACGTCGTCTTTCAGGGAAGACCTTGCATCTTCCAACAGGACAATGCCAGACCACATACTGCATCAATTACAACATCATGGCTGCGTAGAAGAAAGATCCAGGTACTGAAATGGCCAGCCTGCAGTCCAGATCTGTCACCCATAGAAAACATTTGGCGCATCATAAAGAGGAAGATGTGACAAAGAAGACCTAAGACAGTTGAACAACTGGAAGCCTGTATTAGACAAGAATGGGACAACATTCCTATTCCTAAACTTGAGCAACTTGTCTCCTCAGTCCCCAGACGTTTGCAGACTGTGATAAAAAGAAGAGGGGATTCCACACAGTGGTGAACATGGCCTTGTCCCAACTTTTTTGAGATGTGTTGATGCCATGAAATTTAAAATCACCTTATTTTTCCCTTAAAATTATGCATTTTCTCAGTTTCAACATTTGATGTGTCAGCTATGTTGTATTCTGAATAAAATATTGAAATTTGAAATTTCCACATCATTGCATTCTGTTTTTATTCACATTTTGTACAGTGTCCCAACTTTTTTGGAATTGGGTTTGTAAATGTACTTAGGCTTCGGTAGATCATCACCCAAATATAGAAAAAAAAAACAAAAAACAAAAGTAGACATACACTATATAGAGGCTGATAAGCATTTTAGCACCTTTGTTAAGGTTTGTAAGCTGGGAATGGCTTTATTAATAAATTAATCATGATTTATAGATAAGTTATAGACTGCTATAAGAACAAGACTAGGTTGTGAGGATGAGGCTGATGTTTATTCTACTCCATTTGCTTTGTCTTTGTTGCTTTGTAATTTTTTTCAAGAGGACCCTCACATTTGATCATATGATCTCGTCTTAACGTTTATCTTACTTTTTAAGAAAGAACCAATTTAGTTATCTAAACTGAAAGGTCTTACAAAGACAGGCTACCACTCTCAGCATGTAAGAACTCATCAGAGGAAAGTCATTCCACTCAGCCAACCCAGATTTCCCATACATGTCTGCTATCACATTTCATACTACGAGAGCGAGGCTTTCATACAGCATCTGTACGCTGTTATAATCCACTGCATCATCGTCATCATCATCACGCAGTATCACATAACAGTACATAATGTACATGACCAAACCTCTATTTCATGATACATGACTGGAATATACTGTAGGTGGGTGGAGTTACAGTCCAACTCATTTTCTGGCATCTCAGTATGGATAAAAGGCCACAGGTCATTTTTTCCTTCCTGAGCTTTCTTACTTACTTCTTCTTGTCCTTTAGACCTATATTTGTAATAGGAGCTTCTATCTGTGTTGGTCAGATGCACACACACGCACACAAGGTGGAAGGCAAATGTATATCCATGTCATATGCTGTAGGAAGGCAATCAATTATTCATGTAGGACAAAAAGAATATTCTATATTTTTGTTCTTTAGATGTGAAATGAATATAGACCTTGTATCACTTTCATTTCCTGCAACTCTCTTTCTCTCTCTCTCCATCTTTCACACACATTCTTTTTTTTGTCTTTGTTCCAAATGCTTGTGTTATACAGCCTCCCTGACATTTTTCCTGATTCATGGAAGGGAGACAAAGATTAGTTTCAAAGGGAACCAGGCAATTTAATGGATATAAACAGTGTTGTTCCTTGTAATGACATTAATATAAAATGTCTCTGCCACTGTGTCAGTCCTTGCTCTGTGCTAGAAGTTTCACAGTGTATTGAGTTGATGTAACTCACTTTTACAAGGCAAGACACTTGTACTTTTTTCATAGTGGCCAACAGCCAAAAAATAAAATGGCAGCAGTCTTGGTGTACTGTCAAAATGACTAATTGGCAATAGTGTACATGGCATAATGTGTGAGTTTTTCATTTGTTAGTCTATTAAAATGTCACTTGGTGTGTGTACAGACACTTAAAGAGGCCAGTGAAAATGCCAGGAAGGATTTCCACCGTGAGGCTGAGCTGCTGACCAACCTTCAACATGAACACATTGTCACTTTCTACGGAGTCTGTGTGGAGAGCGACCCTCTCATCATGGTGTTTGAGTACATGAAACACGGCGACCTCAACAAGTTCCTCAGGCATGGCTCTTTTCTTTGTCATATAAAAATGTCATCACAACAGCAGCTGTCAAAGCCTTTTTTAAAAAGGCCTTCATGAAAAACAGAAGGGTTGATAAACAAACAAGGTTGTACTGCAGATATTTCATGTGCGAAGACTAAAAATCCTATTTAATCTTCTAAATGTTCTCTCTTTGAAGGACACATTAGCACTGTATTTTACATGGTTGATGCAAAGCTGACAGCTAGCAACACTACACAGAAAACACAAATTACAGAATTCCAACAAATAACAACAGGGCTCAGCTGACAACTTTCCACCTGTTTGCTCACAGGGCTCACGGTCCAGATGCAGTTCTGATGGCAGATGGCCAGACCACCAGACCAGTGGAGCTGACCCAGTCTCAGATGCTGCATATTGCCCAGCAGATAGCATCGGGCATGGTCTACCTGGCATCACAGCACTTTGTGCATCGCGACTTGGCCACCAGGTTTGTCACCTTATTATAAATACCAGCTAATCAACAGTGTTTCTTTTGATCATCCTTGAAATTTTTGTATTTGGTTAGACTTGACAAATGTGTTTTGTCATTTGAGCCGAATTTATAAATGCATAAACCAACAGTCATAGTGCCTAGCTTGATGACTGCCAGTGTTGTAGTACTTGAGTCCAACAGAGTCCAGATTTTAAGGACTCATGCCTCCACTTGGACTTTGCATTGACTGCATTCGGACTTGGAAGTGGGACACAACAACTCAGACTTTTTTTTTGGTAATAGGCCTTAAAAATTTGGCTTAAGATATTGATATTAAAACCTGTTCACCCACACCATGCTGTGTCCGGCACACTTCCATTGAAGCGTACACTCTGCCTTTTTCTAAATGATTTGTACATATCAAATTGCTGAGCAATATGGTGATGCAATACACTGTTAGGAAGTATGGAATCTAAAATGGTAAGAGCTGCATCAGTTGGGTTTAATGTAGCCCTTGATGACTCCCACTTGAGTAACAGGGGCCTCAACTCTTTTGTGACTTGGACTGACTCGGATTCCAATGCTGGGGACTCGAGACTGCACTCAGACTTTAGTGACTGGACTAAACCATGACTGCACACAGTAAAGTGTTTATGAACATTTTTAAACACCAAAAGACAAAAGAGATGCTTTAAACCATAGATATCTACTGTTTTACTGATCTTATTTTCTCTACTGGCTACTCATTTGGCTCTTAGCGCTTTTGACTTATGATCAACAGCTATTTGCCTTACACTGCGCTTATACTAATTGGAGATTTTCATATTAAGATGTATGTTGTTACAATGAAACAATAAAGTGCTATTTCTTAACTGAACTGCACCAAAGCCTCAATTCATTAACAGTGTAAAACATTTCCAGCTGACAGTTATACTTTTTAAGGTCACGTTTGTGATTCATCAGGAACTGCCTGGTGGGTGAGAACCTGCTGGTAAAGATCGGAGACTTTGGCATGTCCAGAGACGTCTACAGCACTGACTACTACAGGGTAGGTGTATGTGTCGATATCTTTTCTGGCCCTTTTTTAGCCTCCCCCCTCCCTGCTGCATGGGTCCTCCTCTGCTCCTCCCCTGCATGGGCATAACTGACGGACCCCGGCAGAGTTGCAGCACAGTAGGTTGCTGTGGTGGGTCAATTAACTGAGCACAGTGCAGTGAAAATAAATATACATGTAGCAGTGTATAGCTCACTGTGATGCCATAGTGTATGTAACTGAAGTGACAGAGAGGGAGACTAAGTAGCATGCTTCTTTAGGTGAGTTTATGTCATGCCGTGAGTAAAATAAATTAAGATAATTGCTTCATTATTTTTTGTCCCTGAGAGCCAATATAGAGTAGTTGTTGTAAAGTTATTTTTACAGTGTGATTTTTTTTTCCCCTATTCCTTTCTTAAGCAGGTGTTTGTTTTTAATTTCTGCTCGTCCTACCTTGCTAACGAGACATCTCACACAAAGACCACAAACACATTTTAAAATTACACCAATAAACAACATAGTGGCATTTGAAAATGTACAAAATATTATATAGTCGCACTATAATATGTAATATAACAGACAATTTGTCATTTTTTAAAACCTGTTAGAATACTCTAAGACACACAAGCGTGTGTGTCTCCTGTTTTCTTTACTGGAGATTTTGCCAATGAAATATTGAATAAAATTTATTTCTATAGTTACAAAGTGCTTTACAAAAGAAAACACACAATAGGTACCTAGTCAGTACTGGTAATAAACACCTGCTTAAATAGATAGGTCTTTTGGAGCGAGCAGAAGGCAGCGACATCACGGGCAGAATAAAGGTCAAATGGATAACAGATTAGCAGCAGCTATGTCGAAATACAGATCTTTAGGTAATTGACAGGTAGCTGAATTTGCTGTTTTATATATTTTATAGTTGTAATATATCTTAGTCAAATAAGCACCCCACATCCATTGTACCCCTTTTGAGGAATGTATAAAACATTAAATATTTCTGAAATATTATACCATGAAATGAACATGAGGCTGTTTTTTGCAAACTGCAAACAGTCTGCCTAGTCCCACGTGTTCAGTTTGCAAAACAATACAGTATATACATTGTGTCAAGCAAGATGCAAACTACAGCATTATAAGACTGTTTTACTGACACATTTTGAGCCTGATATAATCAGTATAACACAGAGTGAAGGGTCACACAATATGTATTATACAGTACTATATAGAATAAGTCTATTAATACTGCAGGAAGTGTAGGTCATTGGGATGTAATACAGTACATGCATGCACCTTACTTAGAGGGAGGTATAACGGGCTTCTCTGCAAGAGGGAAATGCAGCTGTATTTCTAAAAGGAAGTCTGAGAATGTATGTATTGTGTGTGTGTGTGTGTGTGTGTGTGTGTGTTGAAGGGACATCTAGCAGCTCTACTGTGGGTGTCAAGATAACTCAGGGATACAAGAGACAGCCACGTATTTTTTCCCCTTGTGTACAGCAATCTGTCAGCTTTCCAAAAGGCAGAAATCTACAATAATAAATATTACTGATTGAGTGATAGTGACCGTCCTTTTTTCCTGCCCTTTTTCCACAGTGACAAATTCACATGAGTGAGTGACAAAAGACTTAGGGGAGGAGGGAGGAAGGGAGGAAGAAGGATGAAGGAGCCATTCAGTGACAATAAAAATCACTGCTTTGGACAAATAACAATTAGGAAGATAACAATGAGCTAGAGGCCATTTGATTGATGTATAATTCAGTAATAACAGTGATTTATTCATATAATTTTTGATAGCGAAACAAGTCTTTAAATATAGCTGTATTAATAAGTCTGGAAAAATGCTCAGTGTAGTTATATACATACAAAATTTTAGTTTGTGATGAAGTTTGTATTTTAGGATCAAGGTCATCTCATAGTTTCCATGTTATATAATTATTAGTATATTTTACAAAATAATAAAAAATATTATATACATGACAGTGGCTTCCCAGTATTAGAAAGCTCCAGGTATATTGTCCCTGCCCCTCTTGATGAGAGACTTTACCTATTAGATATTCCTAAATACAGCTTCCCCATATGCAGAAAACATGTCATGATATGAGCACAAAGTCACAACATTAATAACATCAAAAACTCAAAATCCACATGGCCACAATCAATCTGTATTCCAAGTATATAGAGAACTGACTCTTCATTAGCCTTTTTCTGAACACAGATCAAATTGGAATAACTATGGAATCAAATTAAAAAGATTAAGGTCTCTACTCCGTGGCTATCTTTTGCATTATCGCTGATGATGACACACAGCACCCTCCCTCTTCCTCCTCCTCCTCCTCCTCTTTTCTTTCACCCTTTCTCAGTAAAGCTAAGCGCGAGGCTGTAGTCATGACAACAGGCAAAGGCAGTAGTGGTGAGCCCAAGAGTTGTAGCCAGCATTTCTCAGGAAGAAAAGTAATCAAAGAACTTGTGTTTAGTATGCCGAGGCTGTACAAGAAAGAGAGAAGGGGAGAAGGAGAGAGATGGAGACAGGAGGGAGGAGAGGAGATAAAAATGTCAGGGAGGGAGAAAATAAGACAAATAAATACACAAAAAGGAGAGAAGTAATAGAGCCATAAAGGAATATACACAAGCTGAGGTGGGAGAGGAGAAGTCTGGTGGCAGCATATAGAGAAGACACTATAGTGGATAGTCAGTAAGAAGCAAACACACACAGGAGCTGCAGCTTTAGATAACAATAGTGAAGGTGATCAGAGGTAAAACAGCAAGAAATGACAAAAAGGACAGAGGTAGACAGACGGGTAGAACTGCAAAGCAAAAGATAAGTACAGGATGGTGGGAGGTAAAACATAGTGATCCACCCATGTTTCAGTGTCCAGGAGAGACAGGGAGGTGTGTGGTTGTGTGACTGTGAGGGGGCGTTGGAGAGTGTAGGGACCCAGTCATGCTCTTGCGTCAGACAGGAGCAAAGATGAGTCATAGAGGAATTGGAGCTCCCCCCCAAGTGCTTATGTGTGTGTAGGAAAATAGAAGCAGAGGTGTAGGACTGAAGTAGTGACGTCACCGAATCCCCTGTTACACAATAAACCTGAAAACTCTACAGAAGACAGAATGCCTTGATTTAAACATTCAGTCTTGGCATGCAGGGTGCTACTTGCAGTAGGAGTTGGGGAGGGAGCATGGAAATATGCAAACTGATTTCATATCCAAATGTGCATGAAGATATGCAAACTGATTTCATATCCAAATGCGTACAATGAAAGGAAATTAAACACCTGCTTAGGTCTAAACATATGCGCCCAACTGTTGCTGTTGACACAGACTGCAGGAAAACAATCAAAAAAGCTAAACTAATCAATCTCAGCAGAAGCAATTTGCCCCCTTTTTTCCTCTCACAGCCCATCTCTGGGCCCTGACTAACACAGACAAACAGCAACTTAATGGAACACCTGGAAAGTCAGAATGGAGCAGTTATCTGTGCAGGGGTGAGTATGCATGTGGACACACAAAACACCGGTGACCTAAAAGATTTACAGGCAAGATGATACTGCTGACACATAATAAAATCTACCATGTAAAGGTCAATTTCACGACCAATATGAGCCCCAGCAGATGCTCACCGTTTTCCCGGTGGTGGCCGACGGCTGGCTGCTGGCTTGGTGTGTCACAGCCAATGGTCAGCCACCACCGGGGAAACGGTGAGCATCTGCCAGGGCTTATATTTGTGGTGTGTCCCGCACCACTGGCACTAGTCGGACCCTGTCGGTGGCTTTTCAGCTGATTCAACATGTTGAATGGGCTGCAGACTTATCTAGGAAAAAAACCACCAATTGGCTCTTCAGTTCAGCGAATCAGTGTAGGAGAAGAGGAGAACAGTTAGGTTGGGTTTTTCCCCTCTATAATATTAAGGTCTAGATTTTACTCTAAAGTGTCCAGAGATGACTTTTGTTGTGATTTGGTGGTAGACAAATAAAATGAAATTGAACTGAATTAAACAGTTCAGGAAAGCCCCTTTGAGTCTGTCACTGTAGTATTCATGATTTCACCTATTTAGTATAGTTTCTCCTTATTTTTTGCCTCTCTGGTTAGGTTTAAGCAACCAAACCTAGGCTGAAGCCAGAATAATCTGGCCTAATGATTCCACTGCTTTGACAAAAAAATTACATTTTACTGATATGTTCAGTAACAGTAGATTAAGAACATTTCCTCAATAGGTCACTATTATATTTTAGAGCAAATTAGTTGTATATAGACCTGATTTCTAGGGCAAAGGAATGAACAACAGCGTGTCGCACAACCCTGTGTCAAACATTTTACTGTAACGGAGCTGACCAGGAGAGCAAGCTTTTTTCTTCCAGATAAAGATAAAAACCAACATGCACACACATACACACATACTTGAAAAGTGTTTTTGTTTCTATAGCAACACAGCGGGCAATTTAGGTCAGGTTCCTGTGTAACTAAGAGTAGGTGGAGTTCGTCACATAAGCCCCTCCTACACCACATCCCATAATGCTTTGTTTTTAGCTAATCCGTTTGCCATGAACACCACAGCCTCCAGGAGAGCCAAGAGCCCTCACATTTCCTCATCGCTTTTTTGAGGCTTTCCTGGAACACTCAGTGGTCTAGTTGAAATGATGCATATTTATAAGACAGAGAGGGAGAGAGACAGACAGGCGGGCTTAGAAATCGTGAGGGAAGGTGAAGACGAGTGAGGCGGATTAAAGGAGGAAGAGAGACAGGAAAAGCAAAGGAGACAAAAACTAATGACGAAACCACTGACAGCAGAGAGAGAGAGAGAGAGGTGCATAGTGAGAAATCTATGAAAGCGTTTGGACTTCAGGCTGCTTCACTGAAAACGTGACTTAATATTTGACTCCCCCTCTTCCACAGTGGCAGGATGAATTAATCTGAGGCTCTCCCCTACTGCTTCTTTATCTGTCTTCCTCCTGTACCTGTTTTCTTTAATTTCAGCCTTGTTAGAGCCTTTTTGAAGTGAGGTTTCTCCTCATTCTCTCTCTCATACA